AGAGAGACTGGAGAGAGAGAGACTAGAGAGAGAGAGACTAGAGAGAGAGAGACCAGAGAGAGAGAGAGACTGGAGAGAGAGACCAGAGAGAGAGAGAGACCAGAAAGAGAGACCAGAGAGAGAGACCAGAGAGAGAGAGACTAGAGAGAGAGAGACCAGAGAGAGAGAGACCAGAGAGAGAGAGAGACTGGAGAGAGAGACCAGAGAGAGAGAGACCAGAGAGAGAGACCAGAGAGAGAGACCAGAGAGAGAGAGACTAGAGAGAGAGAGAGACTAGAGAGAGAGACCAGAGAGAGAGAGAGAGAGACCAGAGAGAGAGAGAGAGACCAGAGAGAGAGAGAGAGACCAGAGAGAGAGAGAGAGACTAGAGAGAGAGAGAGACTAGAGAAAGAGAGACTAGAGAGAGAGAGAGACTGGAGAGAGAGAGAGACCAGAGAGAGAGAGACCGGAGAGAGAGAGACCAGAGAGAGAGAGACTAGAGAGAGAGACCAGAGAGAGAGAGAGACCAGAGAGAGAGAGACTAGAGAGAGAGAGAGAGACCAGAGAGAGAGAGACCAGAGAGAGAGAGAGACTAGAGAGAGAGAGAGACCAGAGAGAGAGAGAGACTAGAGAGAGAGAGACTAGAGAGAGAGAGACCAGAGAGAGAGAGAGACCAGAGAGAGAGAGACTGGAGAGAGAGAGACGAGAGAGACCAGAGTGAGAGACTAGAGAGAGAGACCAGAGAGAGAGAGAGACTAGAGAGAGAGAGAGCCTAGAGAGAGAGACCAGGGAGATCTCTCTCCTCCTCTGCCCCTCACACATGACCTCATTCCGCTCGCCCCCCTCTCCCCCCTCCCCCCCCCTCTCCCCCCTCCCCCCCCTCTCCCCCCTGAGCCACAGAAACACGCTCGGATGCCAGTGTACGGCCCGTCTTTGGTCGGCTGATAACCGGATTAGACAAATTACATTTGAGCCGTGACCAGGCGCTCTCTGTCAGGTCCTCGCCGTGGGACCAGAACGAGGGGAGGCTGAATAAAACATGCAGAGATGTTCCGTGGAATGTTCCCTCGGAGGAACTGGTGTCTTTGTGGTCATGTCGGAGCCTGGACCAGGACATGGAAGTAATGTGAACCAGGACATGGAAGTAATGTGGACCAGGACATGGAAGTAAAGTGGACCAGGATATGAAAGTAAAGTGGACCAGGATATGGAAGTAAAGTGGACCAGGGCATGGAAGTAATATGAACCAGGATATGGAAGTAAAGTGGACCAGGATATGGAAGTAATGTGGACCAGGACATGGAAGTATGTGCACCAGGACATGGAAGTAATGTGGACCAGGATATGAAAGTAAAGTGGACCAGGATACCAGGACATGGAAGTAATGTGGACCAGGACATGGAAGTAATGTGAACCAGGACATGGAAGTAATGTGGACCAGGACATGGAAGTAATGTGGACCAGGACATGGAAGTAATGTGGACCAGGACATGGAAGTAATGTGGACCAGGACATGGAAGTAATGTGGACCAGGACATGGAAGTAATGTGGACCAGGACATGGAAGTAATGTGGACCAGGATATGGAAGTAAAGTGGACCAGGATATGGAAGTAATGTGGACCAGGACATGGAAGTAATGTGGCCCAGGATATGGAAGTAATCTGGACCAGGACATGGAAGTAATGTGGACCAGGACATATAAGTAATGTGGACCAGGACATGGAAGTAAAGTGGACCAGGATATGGAAGTAATGTGGACCAGGACATGGAAGTAATGTGAACCAGGACATGGAAGTAATGTGGACCAGGACATGGAAGTAATGTGGACCAGGACATGGAAGTAATGTGGACCAGGATATGAAAGTAAAGTGGACCAGGATATGGAAGTAATGTGGACCAGGACATGGAAGTAATGTGGACCAGGATATGGAAGTAATGTGAACCAGGACATGGAAGTAATGTGAACCAGGACATGGAAGTAATGTGGACCAGGACATGGAAGTAATGTGAACCAGGACATGGAAGTAATGTGAACCAGGACATGGAAGTAATGTGGACCAGGACATGGAAGTAATGTGGACCAGGACATGGAAGTAATGTGAACCAGGACATGGAAGTAATGTGGACCAGGACATGGAAGTAATGTGGACCAGGACATGGAAGTAATGTGGACCAGGATATGAAAGTAAAGTGGACCAGGATATGGAAGTAATGTGGACCAGGACATGGAAGTAATGTGGACCAGGATATGGAAGTAATGTGAACCAGGACATGGAAGTAATGTGAACCAGGACATGGAAGTAATGTGGACCAGGACATGGAAGTAATGTGAACCAGGACATGGAAGTAATGTGAACCAGGATATGGAAGTAATGTGGACCAGGACATGGAAGTAATGTGGACCAGGACATGGAAGTAATGTGGACCAGGATATGGAAGTAAAGTGGACCAGGATATGGAAGTAATGTGGACCAGGACATGGAAGTAATGTGGCCCAGGATATGGAAGTAATGTGGACCAGGACATGGAAGTAATGTGGACCAGGACATAGAAGTAATGTGGACCAGGACATGGAAGTAATGTGGACCAGGACATGGAAGTAATGTGGACCAGGACATGGAAGTAATGTGGACCAGGATATGAAAGTAAAGTGGACCAGGATAGGGAAGTAATGTGGACCAGGACATGGAAGTAATGTGGCCCAGGATATGGAAGTAATATGGACCAGGACATGGAAGTAAAGTGGACCAGGACATATAAGTAATGTGGACCAGGACATGGAAGTAAAGTGGACCAGGATATGGAAGTAATGTGGACCAGGATATGGAAGTAATGTGGACCAGGACATGGAAGTAAACTAGACCAGGATATGTAAGTAATGTGGACCAGGATATGTAAGTAATGTGGACCAGGATATGGAAGTAATGTGGACCAGGACATGGAAGTAATGTGGACCAGGACATGGAAGTAATGTGGACCAGGACATGGAAGTAATGTGGACCAGGACATGGAAGTAATGTGGACCAGGACATGGAAGTAATGTGGCCCAGGATATGGAAGTAATCTGGACCAGGACATGGAAGTAATGTGGACCAGGACATATAAGTAATGTGGACCAGGACATGGAAGTAATGTGGACCAGGACATAGAAGTAATGTGGACCAGGATATGGAAGTAATGTGGACCAGGACATGGAAGTAAAGTGAACCAGGATATGGAAGTAATGTGGACCAGGATATGGAATTAATGTGGACCAGGACATGGAAGTAAACTGGACCAGGATATGTAAGTAATGTGGACCAGGATATGGAAGTAATGTGGACCAGGATATGGAAGTAATGTGGACCAGGACATGGAAGTAATGTGGACCAGGACATGGAAGTAATGTGGACCAGGACATGGAAGTAATGTGGACCAGGACATGGAAGTAATGTGGACCAGGACATGGAAGTAATGTGGACCAGGACATGGAAGTAATGTGGACCAGGACATGGAAGTAATGTGGACCAGGATATGGAAGTAAAGTGGTCCAGGATATGGAAGTAATGTGGACCAGGACATGGAAGTAATGTGGACCAGGATATGGAAGTAATGTGGACCAGGACATGGAAGTAAAGTGGACCAGGATATGGAAGTAATGTGGACCAGGACATGGAAGTAATGTGGACCAGGACATCTCGCTGTTCGTGGCTTCGGTCCAAACGTGGTCAAAATAAAAACATTTTCATCGTCACAAAAACAAACAGAGAAACACTTTCTTCTTCTCTGTTAGAACACTGTCTACTTATTTAGAGGAGGTCTCTCTCTCTGCTCTATCTCTATGGTCTCTCTCTCTGGTCTCTCTCTCTGCTCTATCTCTCTGGTCTCTCTCTGGTCTCTCTCTGGTCTCTCTCTGGTCTCTCTCTGGTCTCTCTCTCTGGTCTCTCTCTCTGGTCTCTCTCTCTGGTCTCTCTCTCTGGTCTCTCTCTGGTCTCTCTCTGGTCTCTCACTGGTCTCTCACTGGTCTCTCACTGGTCTCTCACTGGTCTCTCTCTGGTCTCTCTCTCTGGTCTCTCTCTCTGGTCTCTCTCTCTGGTCTCTCTCTCTGGTCTCTCTCTCTGGTCTCTCTCTCTGGTCTCTCACTGGTCTCTCTCTGGTCTCTCTCTGGTCTCTCTCTCTGGTCTCTCTCTCTGGTCTCTCTCTCTGGTCTCTCTCTCTGGTCTCTCTCTGGTCTCTCTCTCTCTGGACTTTTGATCTGGTCTCTCTTTTCTGTCTCTCTTTACTCTAGTCTACTCTCCCCTGATTGAGAGTGTTTCCTCTGGTCCTGTGTTAGGAGTCCCAGGTCCTTCTTTAGTCCCTCTTGGTCCTGGTTCTATCCAGGCCGAGCTGGTCCTAAAGTGTTCAAACTGACTGTGATTGGCCAGAGTGCTGCTTGAAGCCGTGGTTATCAAGGAATTTTCACATATACTGGTTAGTTGTGAGAAACCACATGCTAAAATGTATTGGAAAGACAAGTGATTAGACCCAGGACTGAGGCTGTAGACCCAGGACTGAGGCTGTAGACCCAGGACTGAGGCTGTAGACCCAGGACTGAGGCTGTAGACCCAGGACTGAGGCTGTAGACCCAGGACTGAGGCTGTAGACCCAGGACTGAGGCTGTAGACCCAGGACTGAGGCTGTACACCAGAGAGAGAGACCAGAGAGAGAGACCAGAGAGAGAGACCAGAGAGTGAGACCAGAGAGAGACCAGAGAGAGAGACCAGAGAGAGACCAGAGGGAGACCAGAGAGAGAGACCAGAGAGAGACCTGAGGGAGACCAGAGAGAGAGACCAGAGAGAGAGACCAGAGAGTGAGACCAGAGAGTGAGACCAGAGAGAGAGACCAGAGAGAGAGACCAGAGAGAGAGACCAAAGAGAGACCAGAGGGAGACCAGAGAGAGAGACCAGAGAGAGACCAGAGGGAGACCACAGAGAGAGACCAGAGAGAGACCAGACGCAGTGTGTCCGATGGTGTTTCTTTCTAGTGCAGATTGTCAGAATAAATGGTGAATTATGAGACAGCTGGGTTTGAGAGAGCGGTGTTTGAGAGAGAGGTGTTTGAGAGAGCGGTGTTTGAGAGAGAGGTGTTTGAGAGAGCGGTGTTTGAGAGAGAGGTGTTTGAGAGAACGGTGTTTGAGAGAGCGGTGTTTGAGAGAGAGGTGTTTGAGAGAGCGGTGTTTGAGAGAGCGGTGAAGATGGAGGCAGCTGTTTCTGGTGCAAGACGTGATTGTAAATGGCAGACGTGGGTTTTATCAGACATGTTTAATGAATGAGCCGAGGCAGAGGCACTTTCAGCACCAGAGAGAGACCAGAGAGAGACCAGAGAGAGAGACCAGAGAGACACCAGAGAGACACCAGAGAGAGACCAGAGAGAGAGACCAGAGAGAGACCAGAGAGAGACCAGAGAGAGACCAGAGAGAGACCAGAGAGAGAGACCAGAGAGACCAGAGAGAGACCAGAGAGAGACCAGAGAGAGAGAGAGCCAGAGAGACCAGAGAGAGACCAGAGAGAGACCAGAGAGAGAGACCAGAGAGAGACCAGAGGAGACCAGAGAGAGACCAGAGAGAGACCAGAGAGAGACCAGAGAGAGACCAGAGAGAGACCAGAGAGAGACCAGAGAGAGAGACCAGAGAGAGACCAGAGGAGAGACCAGAGAGAGACCAGAGAGAGACCAGAGAGAGACCAGAGAGAGACCAGAGAGAGACCAGAGAGAGACCAGAGAGAGACCAGAGAGAGACCAGAGAGAGACCAGAGAGAGACCAGAGAGAGACCAGAGAGAGAGACCAGAGAGAGACCAGAGAGAGACCAGAGAGACCAGAGAGACCAGAGAGAGACCAGAGAGAGACCAGAGAGAGAGACCAGAGAGAGAGACCAGAGAGAGAGAGACCAGAGAGAGAGACCAGAGAGAGAGACCAGAGAGAGACCAGAGAGTGAGACCAGAGAGAGACCAGAGAGAGAGACCAGAGAGAGAGACCAGAGAGAGACCAGAGAGAGAGACCAGAGAGAGACCAGAGAGAGACCAGAGAGAGACCAGAGAGAGACCAGAGAGAGACCAGAGAGAGACCAGAGGGAGAGAGACCAGAGAGAGACCAGAGAGAGACAAGAGAGAGAGAGACCAGAGGGAGAGAGACCAGAGGGAGAGAGACCAGAGGGAGAGAGACCAGAGAGAGAGACCAGAGAGAGAGACCAGAGAGAGAGACCAGAGAGAGAGACCAGAGAGAGACCAGAGAGAGACCAGAGAGAGACCAGAGAGAGAGACCAGAGAGAGAGACCAGAGAGAGACCAGAGAGAGACCAGAGAGAGACCAGAGAGAGACCAGAGAGAGACCAGAGAGAGACCAGAGAGAGACCAGAGCGAGAGACCAGAGAGAGACCAGAAAGGCAGCAGAGAGAGAGACCAGAGAGAGATCAGAGAGAGAGACCAGAGAGAGACCAGAGAGAGACCAGAGAGAGACCAGAGAGAGAGACCAGAGAGAGAGACCAGAGAGAGACCAGAGAGAGAGACCAGAGAGAGACCAGATAGAGACCAGAGGGAGACCAGAGAGAGAGACCAGTGAGAGATCAGAGAGAGACCAGAGGGATACCATGAGAGACCAGAGAGAGACCAGAGGAAGAGACCAGAGAGAGAGAGACCAGAGAGACCAGAGAGAGAGACCAGAGAGAGGCCAGAGAGTGAGAGAGACCAGAGAGAGGCCAGAGAGTGAGAGAGACCAGAGAGAGAGAGACCAGAGAGAGACCAAGAGAGAGGCCAGAGAGGCCAGAGAGTGAGAGAGACCAGAGAGAGAGACCAGAGAGAGACCAAGAGAGAGAGAGAGACCGAGAGAGAGAGAGACCAGAGAGAGAGAGACCAGAGAGCGAGAGAGACCAGAGAGAGGCCAGAGAGTGAGAGAGACCAGAGAGAGAGAGACCAGAGAGAGAGAGAGAGAGACCAGAGAGAGGCCAGAGAGTGAGAGAGACCAGAGAGAGAGAGACCAGAGAGAGAGAGAGACCAGAGAGAGGCCAGAGAGTGAGAGAGACCAGAGTGAGAGAGACCAGAGAGAGAGAGACCAGTCATGTATCAAACCAAACTGTTGTCGAAATGTTGTTTATGGATGATCTTTTTAATAGACTTTGAGAACATAATGTTTTAAATACATGTTGTATGTGTATCTCCTAGAGGTTTAGCACATCTGAATACAACACGTAGGCAGACGTGGGCCACGCAGACGTGGGCCACGCAGACGTGGTGTGACGGGGCCACGCAGCTTGTCCTAGTACTGAGAGCACCGCACTGCGATGCGCGCTCTTTTTCTCTGGAGCGTCCGTGCGCGTAATACAGCAGCGTTTACATATTACCCACGGCTAGGGGGGAGTGTGAGTGTGTTTGGTGAGATCTCGGGTGCACACTGGGTCTCACCGTCGTGCTACTCACCGTTCGCGCGTGTGACCCGTGGGTTGACCAAACAGAGGCAGAGACGCACACACACATTATGAGTGCTGAGGAGCGTCATGTGATCCTTATTTTGTGTTTTTGTTTCTTATGACTGTAAAGGGGGATTATTCTATTCTTTACTGTGTAGTGGGGATTGTTTTGGGGTAAATGGACTTTAAAGTCAGTGAATGTATTTTGTGTTTGTCAAACGCCCAGGGGAGGGGCTTGTGCTTTAAGAGCCTGCTCGAGTTTGGTGATGCTTGGTTGCAGAGAAGGCAACGCCTGAGAACCTGAGATGAAACATGCGCCTACAACTTGTAAACATTGCACTGTATTGCACTGGGATAATAATGGGAAATAATAAATCACTGTGAAAAGTGTTTTTTTGACTGAGCCATTGTGTTTTTGGAAAAAGACCCCACAACACGTGGGCCATGCAGATGTGTGTCCTTGCCTCCTGTGTCCGGTCTGCGTGTGTTCGACTGTCTGCGTGTGTTTGACTGTCTGCGTGTGTTTGACTGTCTGCGTGTGTTTGACTGTCTGCGTGTGTTTGACTGTCTGCGTGTGTTTGACTGTCTGCGTGTGTTTGACTGTCTGCGTGTGTTCGACTGTCTGCGTGTGTTCGACTGTCTGCGTGTGTTCGACTGTCTGCGTGTGTTTGACTGTCTGCATGTGTGTGACTGTGTGTTTGACTGTCTGCATGTGTTTGACTGTCTGCATGTGTTTGACTGTCTGCATGTGTTTGACTGTCTGCGTGTGTTTGACTGTCTGCGTGTGTTTGACTGTCTGCGTGTGTTTGACTGTCTGCATGTGTTTGACTGTCTGCATGTGTTTGACTGTCTGCATGTGTTTGACTGTCTGCATGTGTTTGACTGTCTGCATGTGTTCGACTGTCTGCATGTGTGTGACTGTCTGCACGTGTTTGACTGTCTGCACGTGTGTGACTGTCTGCATGTGTTTGACTGTCTGCGTGTGTTTGACTGTCTGCATGTGTTTGACTGTCTGCATGTGTTTGACTGTCTGCATGTGTTTGACTGTCTGCATGTGTTTGACTGTCTGCGTGTGTTCGACTGTCTGCATGTGTTTGACTGTCTGCATGTGTTTGACTGTCTGCATGTGTTTGACTGTCTGCATGTGTTTGACTGTCTGCATGTGTTTGACTGTCTGCGTGTGTTTGACTGTCTGCGTGTGTTTGACTGTCTGCGTGTGTTTGACTGTCTGCGTGTGTTTGACTGTCTGCGTGTGTTTGACTGTCTGCGTGTGTTTGACTGTCTGCGTGTGTTTGACTGTCTGCGTGTGTTTGACTGTCTGCATGTGTTTGACTGTCTGCGTGTGTTTGACTGTCTGCATGTGTGTGACTGTGTGTTTGACTGTCTGCATGTGTTTGACTGTCTGCGTGTGTTTGACTGTCTGCGTGTGTTTGACTGTCTGCATGTGTTTGACTGTCTGCATGTGTTTGACTGTCTGTATGTGTTTGACTGTCTGCATGTGTTTGACTGTCTGCGTGTGTTTGACTGTCTGCATGTGTTTGACTGTCTGCATGTGTTTGACTGTCTGCATGTAAATACTGAGGGCTTGCCTTTGAAACTGTACGTCCCGTGACAGTTTGTGTGTTTGGAGGTTGTGTTGTGTTGAATAAAGGAGGCTGCTTCGTGGAGGAGAGATTAGAAGACATTGGTCTGGAGCTTTCTGCTGTCTCCTCCATGGACGTCTAAACAAAACATGTAAAATAGAATGACAACTTCGACCTAATCTTCGTGCGCTTCTGTCCAGAGACCTGCAGTGGAACTAGTTTTATCTCACACCACACCATTCTGCAGGACCAAAACCAGGAACTTTAAAACACTCTAACATTTTAAACACTTGAACACAACATACGGGAATCAGCTGCTCACGGGGAAAGTTTGTATTTCCCACTGCACATGAAGGCGTCATAGTTTCCCTTCTTTGGAAACGTGTTTTTAGTTTCAGTTTCGTCTCTGCGTCGGTCTCAGTCCGCACCGCGTCAGTCTCAGGTCGAGGTAATATCCTTTTTCACTTCATGTTTCACTATTTTGGTAAATATGTACAAACGAACTGGTCCACACCGAAGAGAGACCAGAGAGAGACCAGAGGAAGACCAGAGAGAGACCAGAGGGACCAGAGAGAGACCAGAGAGAGAGACCATGAGAGACCAGAGGGACCAGAGAGACCAGAGGGACCAGAGAGACCAGAGGGACCAGAGAGAGACCAGAGGAAGACCAGAGAGAGAGACCATGAGAGACCAGAGGGACCAGAGAGAGACCAGAGGGAGACCAGAGAGAGACCAGAGGGAGACCAGAGGGAGACCAGAGAGACCAGAGAGAGACCAGAGAGAGACCAGAGGGAGACCAGAGGGAGACCAGAGGGAGACCAGAGAGACCAGAGGGAGACCAGAGGGAGACCAGAGGGAGACCAGAGAGACCAGGGAGAGACCAGAGAGAGACCAGAGGGAGACCAGAGGAAGACCAGAGAGAGACCAGAGAGAGACCAGAGGGACCAGAGAGAGACCAGAGGGAGACCAGAGGGAGACCAGAGAGACCAGAGAGAGACCAGAGGGAGACCAGAGGGAGACCAGAGAGAGACCAGAGGGAGACCAGAGGAAGACCAGAGAGAGACCAGAGAGAGACCAGAGGAAGACCAGAGAGAGACCAGAGAGAGACCAGAGGGAGACCAGAGAGAGACCAGAAGGAGACCAGAGAGAGACCAGAGAGAGACCAGAGGGAGACCAGAGGGAGACCAGAGAGACCAGAGAGAGACCAGAGAGAGACCAGAGAGACCAGAGAGAGAGACCAGTAAGAGACCAGAGAGAGACCAGAGAGAGACCAGAGAGAGAGACCAGTGAGAGATCAGAGAGAGACCAGAGAGAGAGACCAGAGAGAGACCAGAGGAAGACCAGAGAGACCAGAGAGAGACCAGAGGGATACCATGAGAGACCAGAGAGAGACCAGAGAGAGACCATGAGAGAGACCATGAGAGACCAGAGAGAGACCAGAGGAAGACCAGAGAGACCAGAGAGAGACCAGATAGAGGCCAGAGGGAGACCAGAGAGAGAGACCAGAGGGATACCATGAGAGACCAGAGAGAGAGACCAGAGAGAGACCAGAGGAAGACCAGAGAGACCAGAGAGAGACCAGAGGGATACCATGAGAGACCAGAGAGAGAGACCATGAGAGACCAGAGAGAAAGACCAGAGAGAGACCAGATAGAGGCCAGAGGGAGACCAGAGAGAGACCAGAGAGAGACCAGAGGGAGACCAGAGAGACCAGAGAGAGACCAGAGAAAGACCAGAGAGAGACCAGAGACAGACCAGAGGGAGACCAGAGAGACCAGAGAGAGACCAGAGAAAGACCAGAGAGAGACCAGAGAGACCAGAGAGAGACCAGAGAAAGACCAGAGAGAGACCAGAGAAAGACCAGAGAGAGACCAGAGAGAGACCAGAGAGAGACCAGAGAAAGACCAGAGAGAGACCAGAGAGAGACCAGAGAAAGACCAGAGAGACCAGAGAGATACCAGAGAGAGAGACCAGAGAAAGACCAGAGAGACCAGATTATATTGTCAGATCCTGTGTTCTAACGTGTGTCTGGTTTGGTCCCAGTCTCAGTCATGAACTCCAACTTGACGCGTGTCCAGCAGAGGGCGCTGTGCCGTGAGCTGGGAGGAGGAGTGAAGCTGAAGCTGCTCTTCAAAGCCTCCATCCACGGCTTCAGCAGCGCCGCCTTCCACCAGCGCTGTGACGGCCGCGGCCCCACGCTCTCTGTGGCCTACAACAGCTCCGCCCACGTGTTTGGAGGATTCACCACCGCCGCCTTCGCTCAGACAAATGGATATGTCAACGACCAGAAGGCCTTCCTCTTCAGCTTCAGAGGAGACCAGCTGCTCAAGTATCCGACCACTAACTCTGCTTATGCTGTGAGAATGGTTGCTACGGCTGGTCCGTATTTTGGAGAAAGTCTGATTCTAATGAATCAAAGCCAAGCTGCGGTCCACAGTGCTCCAGGAAACTACTACAATTTTCCCGCTGAAGAAATGCACGGCAACGACCTGCAGCTGCTGGAGTGCGAGGTGTACCAGGTGGAAGGTAACTCTTTCAAGTATTTAAAGGAGTAGTATAAATGTGGCCTACAGTGGTACTGCAGCCCCTCCCACTCTCCCTGACTCAGGTTGCCAGATACGCAGACGAATCCAGCTGGGACCATAACAGCTGAATAGACAAGAGTTTTGTCAACAACAAATCTATAACCAACACCTTTTTCACAAAGATAGAAATCCTGGTTTCATTCCTTGTTTTGTTGTTAATGATTTGAGAATCATAACGAGACCTTTTTTAGTTCTGCGCCACATGGTACTTTACCAGTGAGATTAGCTCCATGCGGTGAAACGGTGGAGGGCGGGACATCGAAATGAAAATAATAACAAGATTTAGAGGCTGGAAAAGTAATTTAGAAAATCAATTATCTCTGAACTACTGTTATCAGTTAAAGAAGTATTGGAAAGGACCATGAATCCTCTCTGCTCTGGTCTGGACCAGTGTAAAACCATGAATCCTCTCTGCTCTGGTCTGGGCCAGTGTAAAACCATGAATCCTCTCTGCTTGGTCTGGACCAGTGTAAAACCATGAACACTGAACTGCAGCAACATCTCAGGCAGAACAAATAAAGATTAATAATAATAACATTATTGTAAAATACAAAAATAACAATTGTTTCAGAGACTTCTTGACTGACTGTATTTTCGGTGCTTCTCTTTCGTCTGATTGGTTTCGTATCTTCTAGATGCCCAAATACACACACACTTAAAAGAGACACTTACTGTAGGACTCGCTGCTGTTTCCAGAACATTCTAAGTGTGTTCTGTGTTTACAGAGAGCAGTGAGCTGGACCGGCCCTGGAGGCCCATGGTGTGGCTGCCACAGTAAGTCCCTTTAAACCCACAGTAAGTCCCTTTAAACCCAGAGTAAGTCCCTTTAAACCCACAGTAAGTCCCTTTAAACCCAGAGTAAGTCCCTTTAAACCCAGAGTAAGTCCCTTTAAACCCAGAGTAAGACCCTTTAAACCCACAGTAAGTCCCTTTAAACCCAGAGTAAGTCCCTTTAAACCCAGAGTAAGACCCTTTAAACCCACAGTAAGTCCCTTTAAACCCAGAGTAAGTCCCTTTAAACCTACAGTAAGTCCCTTTAAACCCACAGTAAGTCCCTTTAAACCCAGAGTAAGTCCCTTTAAACCCAGAGTAAGTCCCTTTAAACCCACAGTAAGTCCCTTTAAACCCAGAGTAAGTCCCTTTAAACCCACAGTAAGTCCCTTTAAACCCACAGTAAGTCCCTTTAAACCCAGAGTAAGACCCTTTAAACCCAGAGTAAGTCCCTTTAAACCCAGAGTAAGTCCCTTTAAACCCACAGTAAGTCCCTTTAAACCCAGAGTAAGTCCCTTTAAACCCAGAGTAAGTCCCTTTAAACCCACAGTAAGTCCCTTTAAACCCAGAGTAAGTCCCTTTAAACCCACAGTAAGTCCCTTTAAACCCAGAGTAAGTCCCTTTAAACCCACAGTAAGTACCTTTAAACCCACAGTAAGTCCCTTTAAACCCAGAGTAAGTCCCTTTAAACCCACAGTAAGTCCCTTTAAACCCACAGTAAGTCCCTTTAAACCCAGAGTAAGTCCCTTTAAACCTACAGTAAGTCCCTTTAAACCCACAGTAAGTCCCTTTAAACCCAGAGTAAGTCCCTTTAAACCCAGAGTAAGTCCCTTTAAACCCACAGTAAGTCCCTTTAAACCCAGAGTAAGTCCCTTTAAACCCACAGTAAGTCCCTTTAAACCCACAGTAAGTCCCTTTAAACCCACAGTAAGTCCCTTTAAACCCAGAGTAAGTCCCTTTAAACCCAGAGTAAGTCCCTTTAAACCCAGAGTAAGTCCCTTTAAATCCACAGTAAGTCCCTTTAAACCCAGAGTAAGACCCTTTAAACCCAGAGTTAGTCCCTTTAAACCCAGAGTAAGACCCTTTAAACCCACAGTAAGTCCCTTTAAACCCCGAGTAAGTCCCTTTAAACCCACAGTAAGTCCCTTTAAACCCAGAGTAAGTCCCTTTAAACCCACAGTAAGTCCCTTTAAACCCACAGTAAGTCCCTTTAAACCCAGAGTAAGACCCTTTAAACCCAGAGTAAGTCCCTTTAAACCCAGAGTAAGTCCCTTTAAACCCACAGTAAGTCCCTTTAACCCCAGAGTAAGTCCCTTTAAACCCAGAGTAAGTCCCTTTAAACCCACAGTAAGTCCCTTTAAACCCAGAGTAAGTCCCTTTAAACCCACAGTAAGTCCCTTTAAACCCAGAGTAAGTCCCTTTAAACCCACAGTAAGTACCTTTAAACCCACAGTAAGTCCCTTTAAACCCAGAGTAAGTCCCTTTAAACCCACAGTAAGTCCCTTTAAACCCACAGTAAGTCCCTTTAAACCCAGAGTAAGTCCCTTTAAACCTACAGTAAGTCCTTTAAACCACGTAAGTCCCTTTAAACCCACAGTAAGTCCCTTTAAACCCAGAGTAAGTCCCTTTAAACCCAGAGTAAGTCCCTTTAAACCCACAGTAAGTCCCTTTAAACCCAGAGTAAGTCCCTTTAAACCCACAGTAAGTCCCTTTAAACCCACAGTAAGTCCCTTTAAACCCACAGTAAGTCCCTTTAAACCCAGAGTAAGTCCCTTTAAACCCAGAGTAAGTCCCTTTAAACCCAGAGTAAGTCCCTTTAAAACCACAGTAAGTCCCTTTAAACCCAGAGTAAGACCCTTTAAACCCAGAGTTAGTCCCTTTAAACCCAGAGTAAGACCCTTTAAACCCACAGTAAGTCCCTTTAAACCCCGAGTAAGTCCCTTTAAACCCACAGTAAGTCCCTTTAAACCCATAGTAAGACCCTTTAAACCCAGAGTAAGTCCCTTTAAACCCAGAGTAAGACCCTTTAAACCCAGAGTAAGACCCTTTAAACCCAGAGTAAGACCCTTTAAACCCACAGTAAGTCCCTTTAAACCCAGAGTAAGTCCCTTTAAACCCACAGTAAGTCCCTTTAAACCCACAGTAAGTCCCTTTACCTTTAAACCCAGAGTAAGACCCTTTAAACACAGAGTAAGTCCCTTTAAACCCAGAGTAAGACCCTTTAAACCCAGAGTAAGTCCCTTTAAACCAAGAGTAAGTCCCTTTAAACCCACAGTAAGTCCCTTTAAACCCAGAGTAAGTCCTTTTAAACCCACAGTAAGTCCCTTTAAACCCAGAGTAAGTCCCTTTAAACCCAGCGTAAGTCCCTTTAAACCCAGAGTAAGTCCCTTTAAACCCACAGTAAGTCCCTTTAAACCCACAGTAAGTCCCTTTAAACCCAGAGTAAGACCCTTTAAACCCAGAGTAAGTCCCTTTAAACCCAGAGTAAGTCCCTTTAAACCCACAGTAAGTCCCTTTAAACCCAGAGTAAGACCCTTTAAACCCAGAGTAAGTGCCTTTAAACCCAGAGTAAGACCCTTTAAACCCAGAGTAAGACCCTTTAAACCCACAGTAAGTCCCTTTAAACCCACAGTAAGTCCCTTTAAACCCACAGTAAGTCCCTTTACCTTTAAACCCAGAGTAAGACCCTTTAAACACAGAGTAAGTCCCTTTAAACCCAGAGTAAGTCCCTTTAAACCCAGAGTAAGTCCCTTTAAACCCACAGTAAGTCCCTTTAAACCCACAGTAAGTCCCTTTAAACCCAGAGTAAGACCCTCAAACCCAGAGTAAGTCCCTTTAAACCCAGAGTAAGATCCTTTAAACCCACAGTAAGTCCCTTTAAACCCAGAGTAAGACCCTTTAAACCCACAGTAAGTCCCTTTAAACCCAGAGTAAGACCCTTTAAACCCAGAGTAAGTCCCTTTAACCCAGATGAGTGTGAGGCGACACTGACGGTGGTGTGTGCAGGAGGAGGCAGGAGCTCATGGACACTATCTGCTCCTACAAGCCCCTGTGCAGCTCTGTGTCCCAGGTCAGAGTGCTGGTCGTGGGGCCGGTGGGGGCCGGCAAGTCCAGCTTCTTCAACTCCATCAACTCAGTGTTCAGAGGTCATGTGACCAGCCAGGCCATGGCGGGCAGCAGCGGCACCAGCCTCACCACAAAGGTACCATCGGCTCATAACGTTATATACAGTAAATACATACAGTAACTGTCTCATACATGCCTCATACATGTCTCACACATGTCTCATACATGTCTCATAAATGTCTCATACATGTCTCATACATGTCTCATACATGTTTCATACATGTCTCATACATGTTTCATACATGTTTCATACATGTCTCATACATGTCTCATACATGTCTCATACATGTTTCATACATGTCTCATACATGTCTCATACATGTCTCATACATGTTTCATACATGTTTCATACATGTCTCATACATGTTTCATACATGTCTCATACATGTCTCATACATGTCTCATACATGTTTCATACATGTTTCATACATGTCTCATACATGTCTCATACATGTCTCATACATGTCTCATACATGTTTCATACATGTCTCATACATGTCTCATACATGTCTCATACATGTTTCATACATGTCTCATACATGTTTCATACATGCATCATACATGTCTCATACATGTATCATACATGTTTCATACATGTCTCATACATGTCTCATACATGTCTCATACATGTTTCATACATGTCTCATACATGTCTCATACATGTTTCATACATGTCTCATACATGTCTCATACCTGTCTCATGTCTCATACATGTCTCATACCTGTCTCATACATGTCCCATACATGTCACAGGTCTCATACATGTCACATACATGTCTCATACATGTCACATACATGTCTCATGTCACATACATGTCTCATGTCACATACATGTCACATACATGTCTCATGTCTCATACCTGTCTCATACATGTCCCATACATGTCACAGGTCTCATACATGTCTCATACATGTCTCATACATGTTTCATACATGTCTCATACCTGTCTCATACATGTTCCATACATGTCACAGGTCTCATACATGTCTCATACATGTCTCATACATGTCACATACATGTCTCATACCTGTCTCATACATGTTCCATACATGTCACAGATCTCATACATGTCTCATACATGTCACATACATGTCTCATACATGTCACATACATGTCTCATGTCACATACATGTCACATACATGTCTCATGTCTCATACATGTCTCATACATGTCACATACATGTCTCATACATGTCTCAGGTCTCATATATGTCTCATGTCACATACATGTCTCATGTCACATACATGTCTCATGTCTCATACATGTCTCATGTCACATACATGTCTCATACATGTCTCATACATGTCACATACATGTCACATACATGTCTCATGTCTCATACATGTCTCATACCTGTCTCATACATGTCCCATACATGTCTCATACATGTCTCATACATGTTTCATACATGTCACATACATGTCTCATACATGTCACATACATGTCTCATACATGTTTCATACATGTCACATACATGTCTCATACATGTCACATACATGTCTCATGTCACATACATGTCTCATGTCTCATACATGTCTCATGTCACATACATGTCTCATACATGTCACATACATGTCACATACATGTCTCATGTCTCATACATGTCTCATACCTGTCTCATACATGTCCCATACATGTCTCATACATGTCTCATACATGTTTCATACATGTCACATACATGTCTCATACATGTCTCATACATGTTTCATACATGTCTCATACATGTCTCATACATGTTTCATACATGTCTCATACATGTCTCATACCTGTCTCATACATGTCCCATACATGTCTCATACATGTCTCATACATGTTTGTCATACATGTCTCATACATGTTTCATACATGTCTCATACATGTCTCATACATGTTTCATACATGTCTCATACATGTCTCATACATGTTTCATACATGTATCATACATGTCTCATACATGTTTCATACATGTTTCATACATGTATCATACATGTCTCATACATGTTTCATACATGTCTCATACATGTCTCATACATGTTTCATACATGTCTCATACATGTTTTATACATGCATCATACATGTCTCATACATGTATCATACATGTCTCATACATGTTTCATACATGTCTCATACATGTCTCATACATGTCTCATACATGTTTCATACATGTCTCATACATGTTTCATACATGTCTCATACATGTCTCATACATGTTTCATACATGTCTTATACATGTCTCATGTCTCATACATGTCTCATACCTGTCTCATACATGTCCCATACATGTCACAGGTCTCATACATGTCTCATACATGTTTCATACATGTCTCATACATGTCTCATACATGTCTCATACCTGTCTCATACATGTCCCATACATGTCACAGGTCTCATACATGTCACATACATGTCTCATACATGTCACATACATGTCTCATGTCTCATACCTGTCTCATACATGTCCCATACATGTCACAGGTCTCATACATGTCTCATACATGTCTCATACATGTTTCATACATGTCTCATACATGTCTCATGTCTCATACATGTCTCATACCTGTCTCATACATGTTCCATACATGTCACAGGTCTCATACATGTCTCATACATGTCTCATACATGTCACATACATGTCTCATACATGTCACATACATGTCTCATGTCACATACATGTCACATACATGTCTCATGTCTCATACATGTCTCATACATGTCACATACATGTCTCATACATGTCTCAGGTCTCATATATGTCTCATGTCACATACATGTCTCATGTCACATACATGTCTCATACATGTCTCATGTCACATACATGTCTCATACATGTCTCATACATGTCACATACATGTCACATACATGTCACATACATGTCACATACATGTCTCATGTCTCATACATGTCTCATACCTGTCTCATACATGTCCCATACATGTCTCATACATGTTTCATACATATCACATACATGTCTCATACATGTCACATACATGTCTCATACATGTTTCATACATGTCACATACATGTCTCATACATGTCACATACATGTCTCATGTCACATACATGTCTCATGTCTCATACATGTCTCATGTCACATACATGTCTCATGTCACATACATGTCTCATACATGTCTCATACATGTCACATACATGTTTCATACATGTCTCATACATGTCTCATACATGTTTCATACATGTCTTATACATGTCTCATGTCTCATACATGTCTCATACCTGTCTCATACATGTCCCATACATGTCACAGGTCTCATACATGTCTCATACATGTTTCATACATGTCTCATACATGTCTCATACATGTCTCATACCTGTCTCATACATGTCCCATACATGTCACAGGTCTCATACATGTCACATACATGTCTCATACATGTCACATACATGTCTCATGTCTCATACCTGTCTCATACATGTCCCATACATGTCACAGGTCTCATACATGTCTCATACATGTCTCATACATGTTTCATACATGTCTCATGTCTCATACATGTCTCATACCTGTCTCATACATGTTCCATACATGTCACAGGTCTCATACATGTCTCATACATGTCTCATACATGTCACATACATGTCTCATACATGTCACATACATGTCTCATGTCACATACATGTCACATACATGTCTCATGTCTCATACATGTCTCATACATGTCACATACATGTCTCATACATGTCTCAGGTCTCATATATGTCTCATGTCACATACATGTCTCATGTCACATACATGTCTCATACATGTCTCATGTCACATACATGTCTCATACATGTCTCATACATGTCACATACATGTCACATACATGTCACATACATGTCTCATGTCTCATACATGTCTCATACCTGTCTCATACATGTCCCATACATGTCTCATACATGTTTCATACATATCACATACATGTCTCATACATGTCACATACATGTCTCATACATGTTTCATACATGTCACATACATGTCTCATACATGTCACATACATGTCTCATGTCACATACATGTCTCATGTCTCATACATGTCTCATGTCACATACATGTCTCATACATGTCTCATACATGTCACATACATGTCACATACATGTCACATACATGTCACATACATGTCTCATGTCTCATACATGTCTCATACCTGTCTCATACATGTCCCATACATGTCTCATACATGTCTCATACATGTCACATACATGTCTCATACATGTCACATACATGTCTCATACATGTTTCATACATGTCACATACATGTCTCATACATGTCACATACATGTCTCATGTCACATACATGTCACATACATGTCTCATGTCACATACATGTCCCATACATGTCTCATACATGTTTCATACATGTCACATACATGTCTCATACATGTCACATACATGTCTCATACATGTTTCATACATGTCACATACATGTCTCATACATGTCACATACATGTCTCATGTCACATACATGTCACATACATGTCTCATGTCACATACATGTCTCATACATGTCTCATACATGTCTCATACATGTCACATACATGTCTCATACATGTCTCAGGTCTCATATATGTCTCATACATGTCTCATACATGTCTCATACATGTCTCATACATGTCACATACATGTCACATACATGTCTCATGTCTCATACATGTCACATACATGTCTCATACATGTCTCATACATGTCACATACATGTCTCATACCTGTCTCATACATGTCCCATACATGTCACAGGTCTCATACATGTCTCATACATGTCTCATGTCTCATACATGTCTCATACATGTCACATACATGTCTCATACATGTCACATACATGTCTCATACATGTCTCAGGTCTCATACATGTCTCATGTCTCATACATGTCTCATACATGTCTCAAAGCTGGAGTGATGTCTGTGCTGTGTGCAGTTCCGTACGTACTCTGTGAAAAATGGGCGTCAGGGAAAGCCGCTGCCAATCATCCTGTGTGACACCATGGGATTGGAGGACAGCATGGGGGCGGGACTTGATATAGATGACATCAGCAGCATCCTCAAAGGCCACACCCCAGACGGGCACCAGGTAACAGGTCACAGAGAGAGACCTCTCTGGTCTCTCTCTGGTCTCTCTCTCTGGTCTCTCTCTGGTCTCTCTGGTCTCAGGGTTAAGTACACCCCGCTCTCTTCTGCTCAGTTCAACTCGTCTGCGCCTCTTCACTCTGAGTCTCTTGGTTATCGCTCGTGTCCAGAGCTGCAGGACCAGGTCCACTGTGTGCTCTTCATCCTCGACGCCACCTCCGTCTCCATGATGCCCGAGAAACTGGAGGCCAAGCTCAGTGCGGTGCGAAGGAAGGCCAACCTGCTGAGTGAGTGTGTGTCTGTGTGTGTGTGTATTTATGTGTGTCTGTGTGTGTGTGTGTGTGCCTTTATGGACGAGTGGCAAAGAAAGACGTTAAAAGGAATTTTACTATAATTTCAGTCTGTTACTTGTGTGAACTTTCAGTATATGTTTGTAAACAGGACAAATGTGTGTGTGTGTGTGTGTGTGTGTGTGTGTGTAGATATCCCTCAACTCACTCTCGTCTCCAAAGTGGATGAAGCGTGTCCTTTAGTGAAAGAAGATCTGACCAACGTCTACAAGAGCGGATTCATAAAGGATCTGGTACCGTACCCGACCCGACCCGACTCTTACCGACCCTAGACTGTAAAAATGAACTCAGTGACGCCTGTATGTGCCACAGACTTGGGCAGATTCAAAATGGCCGCAGGCAGCCCCTCCCTCAGGAAAATGTGAAAAAGTGGTTCTTGGACCAAGAGCCACTTTTGGACCAAGAGCCACTTTTGGACCAAGAGCCACTTTTAGACCAAGAGCCACTTTTGGACCAAGAGCCACTTTTGGACCAAGAGCCACTTTTGGACCAAGAGCCACTTTTAGACCAAGAGCCACTTTTGGACCAAGAGCCACTTTTGGACCAAGAGCCACTTTTGGACCAAGAGCCACTTTTGGACCAAGAGCCACTTTTGGACCAAGAGCCACTTTTGGACCAAGAGCCACTTTTGGACCAAGAGCCACTTTGGACCAAGAGCCACTTTTGGACCAAGAGCCACTTTGGACCAAGAGCCACTTTTGGACCAAGAGCCACTTTTGGACCAAGAGCCACTTTTGGACCAAGAGCCACTTTGGACCAAGAGCCACTTTTGGACCAAGAGCCACTTTGGCCCATCCTGTAAAGACGCCCGGGGTGGTATTTCAAGTATGTCAGTGCACGAGCTCTCGGCCCACACTGGTTGAAATGTATTTGCCACAGACTTGGGCAGATTCAAAGCTACGTTCCAGATGCTGTCGATGCTGAGGCGAGTATATTGTTTTGGACCAGTCTAGTTTAGCCACTGTGGACTTTTGAATGCACTCATGAAATGAATGGGGCGCATGCAGCTAACACCATCGCAGAACATAGACTGTAAATATGAATTATATCTCCGCTGTTCTAACTAATGGGCCACAACTTCCACGGTTTAAGGGCAGTTTCAAAATGGCCGTGGGGGAAAAAACACATCTGTGCATGCGTCACCTGCACGAGCTCCATTCATTTAAACAAGTGACTTCTAAAGTCCACAGCGACTAAACTAGACTGGTCCAGAACACTCAGCATTGACACACATGTGGAACGGAGCTTTGGGCCAAGAGACAACTTTTGGTCCATCCTGTAAAGGTGTTTTACAGAGGTCAGCTAATGCTATATGTTAGCATCGGCTGATTCTTATTCCGGGTCTACCCCTACAGGCCTGGGGTGGTATTGCAGCATGTCAGACATTTTTGAGCTGGAACCCGCCCCCAGTGGCGCAAATGCGTTTTTTCACATTTTCCTGAGGGAGGGGCTGCCCGCGGCCATTTTGGAAAGAGCCTCAGAGAAGCCAAAAGTGATGTGACATTAGTTTCGGCGGCGGAGAGAGCAGAGAGTGACGTTGTTAATATTTGCAGTGTGTGGTTGTGTCAGATGCAGGAGGCCGCGGTGCGCCTGGGGCTGCCTCTGTCCTGTGTCCTGCCTCTGAAGAACTACAGTGAGGAGCTGGAGCTGGAGGTGTGTGTGGACGTCCTGCTGCTGACCGCGCTGCAGCAGACTCTGCGCTTCGCCGACAACTACTTCGACGACCTCAGCGACCGCCTGCAGCGCTCCAGAGTCGCCAACGCCACGCCCTGAAGCAGACACGTGTGCGACCAGGAGAGAACAACAACTCACTGGTCCTTTAACATGTTTATAACAACAGCTGCATGTTTTAAAGATGTAAAACCTCTCACCCTCTCTCTCTGGTCTCTCTCTGGTCTCTCTCTGGTCTCTCTCTGGTCTCTCCCTCTGGTCTCTCTCTGGTCTCTCTCTCTGGTCTCTCTCTGGTCTCCCTCTGGTCTCTCTCTGGTCTCTCCCTCTGGTCTCTCTCCGGTCTCTCTCTCTGGTCCCTCTCTGGTCTCTCTCTCTGGTCTCTCTCTCTGGTCTCTCACTGGTCTCTCCCTCTGGTCTCTCTCCGGTCTCTCTCTGGCCTCTCTCTGGTCTCTCTCTGGTCCCTCTCCGGGCTCTCTCTGGTCTCTCTCTGGTCTCTCTCTCTGGTCTCTCTCTGGTCTCTCTCTGGTCTCTCTCTGGTCCCTCTCTGGTCCCTCTCCGGTCTCTCTCTGGTCTCTCTCTCTGGTCTCTCTCTCTCTCTAGTCTCTCTGGCCTCTCTCTGGTCCCTCTCTGGTCTCTCTCTGGTCTCTCTCTGGTCTCTCTCTAGTCTCTCTCTGGTCTCTCTCTCTGGTCTCTCTCTGGTCTCTCTCTCTGGTCTCTCTCTGGTCTCTCTCTGGTCCCTCTCTGGTCCCTCTCTGGTCCCTCTCTCTGGTCCCTCTCTAGTCTCTCTCTGGTCTCTCTCTCTGGTCTCTCTCTGGTCTCTCTCTGGTCTCTCTCTGGTCTCTCTCTGGTTTCTCTCTGGTCTCTCTCTGGTCTCTCTCTGGTCTCTCTCTGGTCTCTCTCTCTGGTCTCTCTCTCTGGTCTCTCTCTGGTCTCTCTCTGGTCTCTCTCTGGTCTCTCTCTGGTCTCTCTCTGGTCCCTCTCTGGTCCCTCTCCGGTCTCTCTCCGGGGTCTCTCTCTCTCTGGTCTCTCTCTGGTCTCTCTCTGGTCCCTCTCTGGTCCCTCTCTGGTCCCTCTCCGGTCTCTCTCCGGGGTCTCTCTCTCTCTGGTCTCTCTCTGGTCTCTCTCTGGTTTCTCTCTGGTCTCTCTCTGGTCTCTCTCTGGTCTCTCTCTCTGGTCTCTCTCTCTGGTCTCTCTCTGGTCTCTCTCTGGTCTCTCTCTCTGGTCTCTCTCTCTGGTCTCTCTCTCTGGTCTCTCTCTCTGGTCTCTCTCTCTCTGGTCTCTCTCTCTGGTCTCTCTCTCTCTGGTCTCTCTCTCTCTGGTCTCTCTCTGGTCTCTCTCTCTGGTCTCTCTCTCTGGTCTCTCTCTCTGGTCTCTCTCTCTCTGGTCTCTCTCTCTCTGGTCTCTCTCTCTGGTCTCTCTCTCTCTGGTCTCTCTCTCTCTGGTCTCTCTCTCTGGTTCAGTTAAACATGTAATAAAAGAGAATGGTTCAAACATGACTCCAGGAAACACAACGATTCTTTATTTACTACAATCATTTTAGATTCAAGCCCAGTTTCCACCAGCTCTGCTCTAGAGTCTGCTCTAGGGTCTGCTCTAGGGTCTGCTCTAGGGTCTGCTCTAGAGTCTGCTCTAGGGTCTGCTCTAGGGTCTGCTCTAGGGTCTGCTCTAGAGTCTGCTCTAGGGTCTGCTCTAGAGTCTGCTCTAGGGTCTGCTCTAGGGTCTGCTCTAGAGTCTGCTCTAGGGTCTGCTCTAGAGTCCGCTCTAGGGTCTGCTCTAGAGTCTGCTCTAGGGTCTGCTCAAGGGTCTGCTCAAGGGTCTGCTCAAGGGTCTGCTCAAGGGTCTGCTCAAGGGTCTGCTCTAGAGTCTGCTCTAGAGTCTGCTCTAGGGTCTGCTCTAGGGTCTGCTCTAGAGTCTGCTCTAGGGTCTGCTCAAGGGTCTGCTCAAGGGTCTGCTCTAGGGTCTGCTCTAGGGTCTGCTCAAGGGTCTGCTCTAGAGCCTGCTCTAGAGTCTGCGCTAGGGTCTGCTCTAGAGCCTGCTCTAGAGTCTGCGCTAGGGTCTGCTCAAGGGTCTGCTCTAGGGTCTGCTCTAGGGTCTGCTCTCTTCTACGCAGAGCAGAGTAGATCTGGTGGAAACAGGGTTCTCTGATATTAGAAAAAAAGTTCTGTGCTCAAGAAACTTGGCAAACGTGTGTTAGTGCAAACATTTATAAATTATAAACAGCAGGTTCAGGACGAGAGCTCAGACAGCAGGGGGCGCTGAGGAGAGCTCAGACAGCAGGGGGCGCTGAGGAGAGCTCAGACAGCAGGGGGCGCTGAGGAGAGCTCAGACAGCAGGAGGTGCTGAGGAGAGCTCAGACAGCAGGAGGTGCTGAGGAGAGCTCAGACAGCAGGAGGTGCTGAGGAGAGCTCAGACGTTGTCTTTGTAAATCCAGATATGAGCCATATAAAGACTGACCAATCAGAGGCCTTCATTCATCGGGGTAACTCCAGTTTGCCTTAGCAACCGTCTTAGCAACACGTCTGCTCCTGTTACTGAGAGGAGCTAACTCAGAATAACAAAGGTTCGGGACAAACGTGTATGAAACAAAAGTTAAGGACCCCAGCTTTAACTCCTGCTGACTGGACTCTCCTGTTGAACCTCGCGGACGGAAGGCAGAAGTAACTATGGCACTGGTTTAAATTCAGTCACAAAAAAATTCAAATGTTCAGGATTTTACCAACAATCAGACAAACCATCAACAACCCTGTTTCCACCAACTCGACCCGGCCCGGCTCGGCTTGGCTCTGTGGGGCTGGTGGAAACAGGGCTAAAGAATTGCATTTAAATATTCGGCCAGAGCTTGAGGTTCCATCGTCTCTCTTCAGACTCACACGTCTCTAGACCTCCACAGACTGTACACAGATGGACAATGCTAACACGCTAGCTCAGCAAAGCCCAATAGGGAAGTGCTCATGGATGAAGTTTGGCTCCTCTCTCTGGCTCCTGTTGACTTCATGTAAAAGTTAACTCCTCTAGTTCAGTAACGTTTGTGTGACATCACCATGTTGGGCTTAAATCTGTGGTTCCTCTGTGTCCTGTATTTATCTGAGATGTGTCTTCGGAAATACAGATATGACCATAAAAGGACTGACCAATCAGAGGCCTTCATTCAGGGGCCAACTCCAGCTTTTCTTAGCAACCGCCTTAGCAACACGTTTGCTCCTGTTAAAGGGCTAAGCTAACAGCATCAAAACAAATGCCCAAATAAGGAAACTGGCTCCAGCTCATGTTCAAATCAACTTCTTCTGCTTTAAGCCTAACAATGTGATGTCACACTGTGGTGATGTCACACTGTGGTGATGTCACACTGTGGTGATGTCACACTGTGGTGATGTCACACATTGGTGATGTCACACTGTGGTGATGTCACACTGTGGTGATGTCACACATTGGTGATGTCACACTGTGGTGATGTCACACATTGGTGATGTCACACATTGGTGATGTCACACATTGGTGATGTCACACATTGGTGATGTCACACTGTGGTGATGTCACACATTGGTGATATACCCCCGTAGCCATGACAGCGCCTCCCGTGCAGCATTCCCTTCCCACAGTTTGGCGATAAACACACTGGTCTCCATAGCGACAGCTCAGACCGTTGCAAAGCGGATGCTCCGTGCTGATTGGCCGACGAGTGCGACCTCGTCTCTTAACATCTTGGTTCAAAGCAGCGTTGTGTTTGGACTTTCTGAAAACGGTTGTGCTCAGTTTTGTTCAAACAAAAACAAGGCAAGCTAACAGCATGCTAACAGCTGCTTTGCTAAGCTAACATTTAGTTTCCTCTTGGACCCAGAGAAGCTGTCGCAGAACAGTTCTGCAGTAAATCATAAAAAAGGTAATAATAAAAAGAATCCTGCAGTAGCGCGGTCTGACCACCAGGTGGAGCCCAAGGCTTTTGTAAGTCCCCACTTTTGGCTTTTAGAGTTTTGGCGTCTGGGAGGAGGTTACGCAGGTCCATCTTTGGGGGAGGAGGGCGTGTGGGAGGAGGAGGTGGAGGAGGTGGAGGGGGAGGGGGAGGAGGAGGACTTCAAAGAGCCCAGAGTTTTGCTGAACCAGGAGTTCTTCGCGGCCTGAACTTCACTCATCAGGAGCCCTCTCTGATGCTCCAGCTCCTGCAACACACAACCAGACTTTACAACACACAACGAGACATTGCAACACACAACAACACACGACAACACCCAACAAGACTTTACAACACACAACGAGACATTACAACACACAACGAGACATTACAACACACAAAGAGACATTACAACACACAACAACACACGACAACACCCAACAAGACTTTACAACACACAACGAGACATTACAACACACAAGACATAACACACAACAACACCCAACAAGACTTTACAACACACAACGAGACTTTACAACACACAAAGAGACATTACAACACACAAAGAGACATTACAACACACAACCAGACTTTACAACACACAACGAGACATTGCAACACACAACAACACACGACAACACCCAACAAGACTTTACAACACACAACGAGACATTACAACACACAACAACACACAACGAGACATTACAACACACAACGAGACATTACAACACACAAAGAGACATTACAACACACAACAACACCCAACAAGACTTTACAACACACAACGAGACTTTACAACACACAAAGAGACATTACAACACACAAAGAGACATTACAACACACAACAACACACGACAACACCCAACAAGACTTTATGACACACAACGAGACTTTACAACACACAACGAGACATTGCAACACACAACAACACACGACAACACCCAACAAGACTTTACAACACACAACGAGACATTACAACACACAACGAGACATTACAACACACAAAGAGACATTACAACACACAACAACACACGACAACACCCAACAAGACTTTACAACACACAACGAGACATTACAACACACAAGACATAACACACAACAACACCCAACAAGACTTTACAACACACAACGAGACTTTACAACACACAAAGAGACATTACAACACACAAAGAGACATTACAACACACAACCAGACTTTACAACACACAACGAGACATTGCAACACACAACAACACACGACAACACCCAACAAGACTTTACAACACACAACGAGACATTACAACACACAACAACACACAACGAGACATTACAACACACAACGAGACATTACAACACACAAAGAGACATTACAACACACAACAACACCCAACAAGACTTTACAACACACAACGAGACTTTACAACACACAAAGAGACATTACAACACACAAAGAGACATTACAACACACAACAACACACGACAACACCCAACAAGACTTTATGACACACAACGAGACTTTACAACACACAACGAGACATTACAACACACAACAACACACAACACCCAACAAGACTTTACAACACACAACGAGACTTTACAACACACAACGAGACATTACAACACACAACAACACACGACAACACCCAACAAGACTTTACAACACACAACGAGACATTACAACACACAAGACATAACACACAACAACACCCAAAAAGACTTTGCGACACACAACGAGACTTTACAACACACAACGAGACTTTACAACACACAACGAGACATTACAACACACAACAACACACAACAAGACTTTACAACACACAACAACACACAATGAGACATTACACACACAACAACACACAACGAGACATTACAACACACAACAAGACTTTACAACACACAACGAGACTTTACAACACACAACAACACCCAACAAGACTTTACAACACACAACGAGACTTTACAACACACAACGAGACATTACAACACACAAAGAGACATTACAACACACAAAGAGCCATTACAACACACAACAACACACGACAACACCCAACAAGACTTTACGACACACAACGAGACATTACAACACACAACAACACACGACAACACCCAACAAGACTTTACAACACACAACGAGACTTTACAACACACAAAGAGACATTACAACACACAAAGAGACATTACAACACACAACAACACACGACAACACCCAACAAGACTTTACAACACACAACAACACACGACAACACCCAACAAGACTTTACAACACACGAGACTTTACAACACACAACAACACACGACAACACCCAACAAGACTTTACAACACACAACGAGACATTACAACACACAACAACACACAACAACACCCAACAAGACTTTACGACACACAACGAGACTTTACAACACACAACAAGACTTTACAACACACAACGAGACATTACAACACACAACAACACCCAACAAGACTTTACGACACACAACGAGACTTTAAAACACACAACGAGACTTTACAACACACAACGAGACATTACAACAACACACAACAAGACTTTACAACACACAACAACACACAATGAGACATTACACACACAACAACACACAACAAGACATTACAACACAACAACACACAACGAGACATTACAACACACAACAAGACATTACAACACACAACATTACACACACAACAAGACATTACAACACACAACGAGACATTACAACACACAATGAGACATTACACACACAACAACACACAATGAGACATTACACACACAAAAACACACAACGAGACATTACACACACAACAAGACATTACACACACAACACATGACGAGACTTTACAACACACAACAACACACAACAAGACTTTACAACACACAACGAGACATTACACACACAACAACACACAACAAGACATTACAACAAGACATTACACACACAACAAGACATTACACGCACACAACAAGACATTACAACACACAACAAGACATTACACACACATGACACTGGACCATATGAGGCTTACACCATGTGCACTTTGCTGGTGTGCGTTACCGTTTTGTGAGATACTGTTGTGTGTTACCGTTGTGTGTAGCTGGTGTGTGTTACCGTTGTGTGTAGCTGGTGTGTGTTACCGTTGTGTGTAGCCGGTGTGTGTTACCGGTGTGTGTAGCTGGTGTGTGTTACCGTTGTGTGTAGCTGGTGTGTGTTACCGGTGTGTGTAGCTGGTGTGTGTTACCGTTGTGTGTAGCTGGTGTGTGTTACCGGTGTGTGTAGCTGGTGTGTGTTACCGTTGTGTGTAGCCGGTGTGTGTTGTGGGTCACCTGTATCCGGCACTTGGCTTCCACCAGCTGCAGCTTGGTCTGGGCCAGCTCCAGCTCCATGGTCCTGAGCTGGTCCTGGAGTCCGTCCTGGTCCTGGTCCTGGTCCTGAGGGAGGGGAGCATCCTGCTGTGGAGACCTGGACTGAGGAGAAGCCACCGACACCAGGAGAGAGCAGCGTGGGCAGCCGGACACCTTACT